TTTTCCCTTTCTTGTTTCTCCTTACCCCCCACCACTCTGTTTTTGGGGATTTTAATGCCCCCTTTCCTCTGGGGGGGTCTCATTGGTCCCCGTGGGATTCAGTTGGAGGCTTTTCTTGCCTTCACCCCCTCCATGTTTTTAAAAACGGGTACTCCCACCCATTTTGTCCCGTACTCATACTCTCTCTTGCATCGCTATCAGTCGCTTTCCTCCACTGCACTAGACTTCACCTGGTCTGTTTACCAGACTTACATGACAGCGATCATTTTCCCATCATTTTACTTCTCCTTCCCATTCACCACCTTCCCGTAGCCCTCGCTGGCAATTTTATCGGGCAAATTGGGACTTTACTCACACCTCATGCTTTTAGTGAGGTTCCTTCTTCATCCCCATTGATGAGCTCCTACACATCTTCTCGACATCGTTTATACCGCGCTTCTCATTCTATACCCCAAACCTCAGGCAGGGATTCTCAGAAGTGCGTGCCTTGGTGGTCTCCTGCTTGTTTTCATGCAGTACGTTTGAAACGTGCTGCATGGGGGAGGTACCCCTAAATAGAAAAGCTGAGAGACTTGTTGATTTTAAGCGAAGCGTGCGATCGCTCGCCCTGTCATCCGTGAAGCTAAACGCACTTGTTGGCGAGACTATGTTTCCACCTCACTCTGCTTTTCTAGATGGGAGTCTGGAAAAAAGTGAGGAAATTGAGTGGTAAAAATCTTCTGACCGGCTCCGTTTACGGGGGGACTGGTTATAAGCAAAAACCCCCCGACGTTGCCATTGAACTTGGGAACTTGGGCCTATTTTCCCGAGGGCTCCATCTATGCCCCTCGTTTCTTTTCCCCAAAGTCTGCCAGAGAGTTAGTACCCTTGGATTTTCTTTCTCGGGAAGAAAGTATAATGGCCTTTACACTTCAAAATGGAGGCAACGCTCTCGCTTGCCCTTTACGGAAATGGGGGCCCGTGACATTCTATTCTAGTTACAACATTTACATCGGTCAGCCCCTTTTAGTCCTCTTACACCTCTTCAATCTTATTTGGGAAAAGGAGTTCTTCCCCCGCTGTGGAAATCTGCCCTTGTTCTCCCTTTCCGCAAACCGGGTACTACAGGACTGATGCCTCCCACTATGCCCCCTCGCCTTCAAGTGCAGTTTGCAAAGTGATGGAAGCCTCGTAAAAACGACGTTTTAAAGTGGTATTTTGGACCCAAAAGTCTTCCGCTAGTCAATATGGCTTTCTAAAGGGCGTTCTACCCTAGACCCTTACTCGCTTGGATACGTATGTTCTTAAAGCCTTTTCGAATAATCACTCATTTTGCCCTTTTTTTTGCCTTTAGAAGATATGAAAACTTGGAGGTATAATATTTTGGCCCAGGCCCCTTCCTTAGGCCTCCGAGGCAATCTACCATCCTTTCCCTTTAAAAACTTTTTAATGACAACCCTTTCCGTTTCGAGTCAATAATGTTCTTTCCCCGGACTTGTCCAAGTGAGGGTCCCCCAGGGGTGTGTTTTAAGCCAACACTTTTTTCTCCTTGCATAAATATTTGGCCTGTTCTTCCCCCCAATATTTGGTCATCATCTTGTTGATGACTTCGCTATTGCTTGTGCAGGCGTGACTGTCACCTTATTGCAGTTTCTCTCCACATGCGGTGAGTTTTCCCCCTTGGGCCCCCACACAGGGTTTAAATTTTTTAAGTACCAAAACTCACCAAATTACTTTACTAACGCTTGTTATCTCCCCATCATCCTTTGTATCTCTATGGCTCCCCCATCCCCCAACGGGGAACAGTCAGGGTTTTTAGGCCCTTTTCTTTGACCCGGGTTAACCTGGAAAAACCCCACATTACTCTCTGAAGGATTGTCCAGCCGGCTAAACCCTTTTTAAAACCCTTGCCCCATCTTTCCTGGGGAGCTGATCGTCGAAATTGCTTCGCCCACATTTAGCCCTGTTTTTCGAAACTCATTATGGTGACCCAAATTTATTCCCCGGCCTCTCCGCTACTCTCCTAGCCTTAACTCTATCCCATCACCAAGGCTTACGTTTGTGCCCTTTGGGGCTTTTCGCTCTTCCCCCGTTTAAGGGCCCCTTCGGAAAAAATGTTCCCTCCTTGTCTGACGCCGTGTGCCCCCTTGCCTTCGTTACTATGTACGCTCTACGATCTACACAATCCTTCCCTTTATAGAATGGGCACCATTTAGTAGAAAATTCTTTATTCGTTCGCCGCCCCTGTTTTCCCGTCCTTTTCTCTTCGCCTACTTTCACTTTGTTTTCCCTTCGTTACCCCCTTTTTTGTTCATGTAGCTCTCACTTTTCCCTACCCCCCCGGGGAAATTCCAAACTGTTCGGGTCTGTTCTTTTTTCCTCCCTTGCTCGAAAGCTCAACGCCTACGGTGGCTTCCCGCTCTCTTTTTTCTTGATCACTTTATCTCTTCTCATGCCACCCTGTGTACACAGATGGCTTAAGTCTTCAGCGGCTCGGATTCCAGCGTGTTTCGGACAGCGTCTACGAGGGCATTTACATCTTCAGCTAGCATTTTCTTTCTGAACTGTATCCATTTTTGCAGCACTTATTGTATCGCATCTTTCCCGTGTCTCATTTGTAGTAGTCTCAGACTCCCTTAGTGCTTACAGGCATACGAAAAATTTTATACATCTCATCCCCTATTCCCCCGTATCCAACTTTGCTCGCCGTATCTCTACAAACATAAAGATATTGTTTTTGTTGGGTCCCTGGTCAGTCGACGTACAGGGCAATGAACAGGAGCACTGCTGCGCGGTCAGCAGATATGACCTACCAATTTCCTATCGAGGGTTTCCCTTTCTGGGGTATTTTTGCAATAGCTACCCCCTTCGCACCCGTTGGCAAAAACGTTTGGGCAAAAATCTGTCGGTAACAAACTTCATTCTATTAAACCCAGCATAGGTTACTGCCTCTTCTTGTATCAGTGCCAGGTTGGGAGACCAAACCCCTCCCGCCCTTTGCATTGGCCCACTCGTTTACTCTGGGTTCTCGGAGAGGGACCCCGTTCCCCCTCTGTGAGCAGGTCAAGTTCCAGTATCGATTAGCCAATTCTGTTGACTGCCCCCTTATCAACGAGAGCAAATTTACCTCCAAATGTCTTGTTTTCCCACTCTCTTTTACCTTCCCTTCTTGCTGATGGGACCCTCCTTTAAAACCCGACTCTCTCATTGACTTTTTGACAAGATGATTTACTCCAAAACTCTGATGTACTTTTTGCCCCCCCTCAGCCCTTTCGGTTCAGTCTCTTGCTGCCCCTTTTCCCCTTTTAAACCCTCCACTGCCCCGCTGTTTCCGAACCTGTTTCTATCATCTCCCCTTTTTCCCCTGATGCCCTCGCTTCCCTTCCCCCCTGAGCGCTGTTAGTCCTTGTGGGTTTGCGTTCTTTTTTATTATAATAAAAATAATCCTTTTACCTTCCCCTTTTCGTGATGGACCCCCCTTTCATCCCGGACTCTTCATTGATTTTTGACAACGATGTTTCTTCAAAATTTTGATACTTTCAGCCCTTTTTATTCAAAACTCTTGTACCCCCCTTTCCCCCGTACTATCCCCTGCCCCCCTGTTTTGTAAACCCGCTGATCTCCCCCCCTCCCTTCTGCCATCCAATTCCCTTGCTTCCTTCCCTACCCTGCAGCGCTGTATAGCCCTTGTGGCTTAGCGCTTCTTTTTTGATTATAATAATAATAATGAAAGTATGTAAAAAAAGTTGATCATCTTATTTTTTTTTTTACATTTGAAAACTTGTAAAAAAAACTTTGATCTGTTTTTTTTTTTTTGTTGTATTTGAAAATGCGTAAAAAAAAAGTAGATCTACTTTTGGAGCACTACGCATGTGAACATAGATCTGCTTGGACAGTTTAAGGGTTAAGAAGGCACTGGACAGGCACCTAAAGTCATTACTTGATCAGCCAGGCTGTGGTTCATAAGTTGGGTTGTGTGCAGCCAACAGTGGTTGATCAGGTTCAGATCCACCATGAGACCTGGTCATCAACCGGGCCACGGGAGCGTTGACCCCCGAAACCCTCTCCAGGTATACTCTAGGTAGTAGTGTACTGTATATTGTAATAAACAGAATAGAGGAAATCAGCTCTAATATACCTTACGTATTTAGGTATGCATACCAGACAGAACCAGTTGTGAGTAAATGAGTATGTCACTCAGTGAGGAGAGGCTGTACACTGTTACATGGACCAGTTAACATTGTTTGATGTATCCATCAACTAGGAGAGACTGATCCACAAGCTGGATACTATTGAAATGTGGAAAAATTAACAGTGCTTAGTCAAAATTTGGTATTTGTGAATTCATGGTTTGTGTCAAATGGTATTGTCATAAAAATAAGGCACAGTCCTGTATACAGTTTCATTAGTATAGTGCTCTGATTTTGCATGTATAATGTACATAAAAAATATGTATGTAGTATGTCACCATGGGGAAGTGGAACAGAATTCTTCCTCCGTAAGCCGTGCATGTCGTAAGAGGCACCTACAATGCCAGGAACAAGGGGTTAGTAACCCCTTCTCCTGTATACATTACTAAAGTTCAGAAGAGAAACTCTTGTTTTGCTTTTTGGACAACCCTGCCATGCTGGGATACAGCCGGTTTGTTGAATGATGATGTAGTACATGTAAAATATTTTTATATTAGTGCTTGCCTACTTTGCATAGTAATATAGTATATTATAAAAAATAATTTTTCTCTTTTTCTGTATGGGGAAATGGAAAATAATTCTTCCTCTGTAAGTGATGTATGTCATAAGAGACGAATGAAATGCTGGGAGCAAGGGGCTAGTAACCCCTTCTAATGTATAAATTACCTAAAAAGAAAAACTTTTGTTTTTCTTTTTAGGTAACCCTGCCTTGGCGGGACACGGCCAGTTTGTTGGAAAAAAAATTCTCTAATCGTATTATAGTAGAGGAAATATAACCATAAGACATAAAAGAGACTTTTATGCTATAATTTTCTTGATTTCTCATTATAGTGTGGAGAGAGTGATATACTGAAAACTTATGGTCTTGAGGCAGCTAGTCTTGAGGTGGATGATCTACAAGCTCTTCTGCCAGTGATTGTGTACCATTCTCAAAATAAAATAAGTTGTAATCAGGAAGCTTCTGATGCTCAAGCTAAAATGAAACCTAAGTCTGCAGAAGGTAAAAATTTTGTGCTTGTATGGGGCATTGCATATGTATACAAGGGCAAATTTAACATCCTGTCTTTGGCAAAAAGAAAACTTAGAATATTATGCAAGTAAAAATAATGTACTTCATTTTTTTTTTTATTTCTATTATTATTAAAAAAATTTTTTTTTACATAAATGCAGCACTGCTTTAAGGCATTTTTGATCATCATTTACATGTTAGTTTGCCCTTACATCTGTGATGCTGCTTATGCAATTTGTGCTTAGCTTAATATCTCTTGAAAAGGAAGAGAAGTAGATTTACTTGCTAAAACAGAATCTGCTGGAATCTGCATATCAGTAATTTTTATGAGTTTTTATACCAAATATTTTCAAGTTCTTCATTTTATGCAGTTAACGGTGTGCAAGTTGATGTATTTGTGTTGGCACCACTCTTGAAGTTTATTTCACATTGTGTTTATAATAGCCTCTTATTCATATATTGTAGTTTTTCATTATTCTTGGCTACCGTTTAAAGTATGGAGGAAGTGAATGTGTTCAGATATTTGGAAGTGGACTTTTTGGGCAGATGGGCATATGAAAGAAGAGGTTAACTATAGAACTGATGAAGGAAAAAAGGTTAGTTGTGCATTGAGGTATCTTTGGAGACAAAGAACATCATCCATGGAGGCAAAGAGGGAAATGCATGAGGGTATAGGGATACAAACACTCTTATATGGGTATGAAGCATGGGTTGAGTGTATTGCAGTGAGGAGGAGGCTGAAGGCAGTGGAGATGTCGTGTCTTCAAGGTGGTGTGGTGTAAATATTATGCAGAGAATCTGTAGCTTGGAAATTAAGAGGTGTGTGGTTAATATAAGTAATATCCAGAGCTGAGGAGGGGCTGTTGAGGCGAGTTGGACATGGAGAGGACGGAGCAAAACAGGATGACTTGGAGAGAGGGGGCTAAGGAGGTTTTGTGTTGCAAGGGGCTTGGACATCCAGCAGGTGTGTGTGATCATATTAGATAGGAGTGGAGGCAAATGGTTTTTGGGACTTGATGAGCTGTTTGAATGTCAGCGAGGTAACATTTTATGAAGGAATTCAGGGACACCGATTAGCCGGACTTGAGTCCTGGAGGTGGGAAGTATAATGCCTACGCTCTGAAGAAGGGGTGAGAATATTTGCAGTTTGGAGGGGCATCTGAACTGTAGTATCTGTGTACCTCTGGCAAGACATTGATAGTTAACCCCTTTTGGGGTTTCCGACGTACTAGTACGGCTTACGCGCCAGGGCTTTTGACGTACTAGTACACACAAATTCTAGCGCCCTCAAATCTAGCAAGAGAAAGCTGGTAGGCTTACATACGAAAGAATGGGTCTATATGGTCAGTGTGTGCAGTATGAAAAAAATCCTGCAGCACACAGTGCGTAATGAGAAAAAAAAACTTTGACCGTGTTTTTGGTTTAAAACAGCGACTTTGCACTGTATTTTCGTATGGTATTTATGGTTGTATTCTAGTTTTCCTGGTCTTATTTTATAGAATGGAAGACATATTACAGAAATTGAGATGATTTTGATTGGTTTCACAATGAAAAGTACCTTGAAATTGAGCACAAAGTAGCAGAAATGTTCGATTTTTGCAAATCATGCCACACGTCCAATACACATCAACTGGTGAATCTAATATTCTTTCACAAGTGTGCTGGTATTATTTATACCATTTCTACACTAATACAGTAGTCTGCATAACAGTAAATCTTCTATTTTTTGTGAGAATAAAAATTAAAAGTGGAAAGCAAAAGAAATGTAAGAGGGGCCTGGGGATGTGACTAATGAATAGAGGAAATGTTATTTTAGTACCAGTAATGTCTGTCTTGTTTATTCTGGACCCTATTTGGAAATTGGCATCTTTTGAAATTTGTGAAATTGGCAAAATTTCTAAATTCTGACCACTTTATTGGATAGTTGAGATCAGTAAATGGGTGGTTTCTTGTATTCATTCGATAGAAAAAATGGAGTTCTAGCGAAGTAGTTGTGATTTTTGTCGACTAATACACTGGAATTGGCCGAAAATAGGGCTCAAAGTGGGCAAAATCGCTGATGCATAAACTTCGTCTAGACTGTTAACTTTGCAAGAGCATAATTCCGTAAGTTTTCCATCAAATTTCATACTTTTGGTGTCATTATGATTGGGAAAAGATTCTCTATCTTTTTATAAGAAAAATATTTTTTTTTTTTTTTTTTTTTTTTTTTTTTTTTTTTTTTTTTTTTTTTTTTTTAAATTTTGGCGACCCTGAGAACAAGTCTCTGAGAGGGCCTGGTGACCCTCAAAGGGTTAATGATGGTGAGGGTTTCTTTCAGGCCACCCTACCTCAGTGGGAGATGGCCAGGGTGTTAACAATAAAATTTTATGTATTTATATTTTATTGTTTATTTTATATATTTTGTCATTGGCTAGACCTCAGATTAATTTGTGAATACTGTATTAAGTTATTTAATGTGGGTGCTTGTGGCTTAGTCGATGAGATGACTGTTGTGGGTCACATCCTGGGGAACAAGTTTAACCTACATAAGTGCTTCTAAACTGTTGTATCTGGGCACCTCTGCAAAAAGTGATCGTATGAGTGAAGTGAAGGTGTTGAATGATGAAAGTATTTTCTTTTTCTGGATTTTCTTTCTTTTTGGGTCACCCTGCCTTGGTGAGAGACAGCTGACTTGTTGGAAAAAAACAAGTTGCCTGAAATGCTCTGCATAACCAGGGGCTTTCTATATAGTATGCCAATGTCAGCTAGGTGTGTACTAGTTGCATCATATACTTGTAGAAATAAACATGATTTTTTTTTTTTTTTTTTTCAACAAGTCGGCCGTCTCCCACCGAGGCAGGGTGACCCAAAAAAGAAAGAAAATCCCCAAAAAGAAAATACTTTCATCATCATTCAACACTTTCACCACACTCACACATTATCACTGCTTTTGCAGAGGTGCTCAGGATACAACAGTTTAGAAGCATATACGTATAAAGATACACAACATATCCCTCCAAACTGCCAATATCCCAAACCCCTCGTTTAAAGTGCAGGCATTGTACTTCCCATTTCCAGGACTCAAGTCCGACTATATGAAAATAACCGGTTTCCCTGAATCCCTTCACTAAATATTATTATTATTATTATTTGATCTCCAATATTACTGTATATACTACTGTAGTATAGGTTAATTCATCTTTATCATAATTTCTTGTGTGTGTGTGTGTGTGTGTGTGTGTGTGTGCAGTATCTCGTATGCAAGTTGACCATAGTATTAATGGTTAGGAAAAATGTAAGAATTATGGTATCATAATAGATATTATCTTAGAATGCTGTACATTAATATGTTGAAAATATGTATGCTATAAATGTGGCAGCATATTCCATACCATTGTAAATAAGAGGTAGCATCATGCTTTAACCCTTTCAGGGTCCAAGGCCCAAATCTGGAGTCACGCACCAGTGTCCAAGAATTTTCAAAAAAAAAATTTGTTATTTTTTCTTATAAAATCGTAGAGAATCTTTTTGTGAAAGTAATAAAACAAAAAGTACGAAATTTGGTGGAAAATTGACGAAATTATGCTCTCGCGAATTTTGATGTGTCAGCGATATTTACGAATCGGCGATTTTGCCGACTTTGACTCCCATTTTAGGCCAATTACATTATTCCAGTCAACCAAATTCTTAGCTATTTCACTAGTATTACTTCTATTCTATCGATTGAGCACAAGAAATCGCCAAGTCAACTGTTTCAACTACAAAATAAAGTGATCGGAAATTGTTAATTTGGCCAATTTAACACAAAGTTCAAAATATTCCAATTTCAAAATAGGGCCCAGAATGAACAATGTAGGCATTCCTGGCACTAAACTAACATTTCCTCTGTTCATTAGTTATGTTTTTGAGGCTTTACAAATAAATTCCATTTTGATTTTTTATTCACATAATGAATTTTTACTCACAACACCAAAAAATAGAAGATTTACTGTTATGCAATACTGTAATAATTGTATAAATATCATCACCATATTTGTGAATGTATATTAGACCCACCAGCTGATGTGTATTAGACGTGTGAGGTCGTTTGTTTACTCTTGAATATCGGCAAAAATTTAACATTTCTGCTACTTTGAGCTCAGTTTCAAGCCATTTCCAGTGCTAAAACCAATCAAAATCATCTCTATTTCTGTAATATGTCTTCCATTCTATCAAATGAGACCAAGAAAATCGCAAATACAACTATAAAAAACATACGAAAAAACACTGCAAAGTTGCTGTTTTAATCGAAAAATCATGATTTCATTTTTTTTCTCTCATTATACACAGTGTGCTGCAGGATCTGTTTTATGTGGTGCACACATACCACATAGATGTATTCTCTCATATCTAGGCCCAAATGTACCACTCACAGTTTATCAGAGTGAGCTGAGCTCATGGCGTAGATCTACGGTTTGGACCCTGAACGTAAAGCCGTAGATCTACGGGACGGACCCTGAAAGGGTTAACTGTTTGAAGATTTCACACAGTTTAGGCTAGCAGTTGCACGACACTAAACATTTTTTCGTGGGTGTCATGAAGCCGTCAGATTATTTTCACTGACAAATGTAAATGGCTAACTATGGAGAAGCTGATAAAAGATGTCATGGGATTAAATCATGAGAATCATTAGTCTAGGCAGTAGGAACCTAATGTAAATGTGCTGCTGATCTGCTTGTAAAGAGTAGTATGAAGGGAGAGGATAGCACTAGAGTAGAACCCCCATATCCACTGACTCAGTATCCATGGTTTCAGTTATCCACTGTTTACTGTGGCCCATAAATACGTCTTAATTTTGCATAATAATGACCCTAAAATGCAAAAGTAGAGAAGCTGGCAGTTTTTCAAAGCTTAAGCCAAGAAGTGCTTCCCATCAGTGATTCATTAATTAAACTTTGTAATGGGTATGTATAGGACTTGTATACATAGAGTTTGCTACTATCCCTGGTTTCAGTATCAACAGCAGGTCCTTGGAACATATCCCATGTGGATACAGGGTCCTACTGTATATTAATGTATTTTAAATTGTGAAAATTTTGTTTGTGTATTTATAGTACAGTGTGTTGAATTTGAGCTTTGCCTTGGATGCACCCTAGAAATAGAAATTTAATAAGCAGTAGGCACAGAACATGTATAAATTTTAAACCTTTATATATTATTACTCATTAACTGACTCCTTGACTCCTTACATTTTCCAAAAAAAATTTAGTCCTGAAACCTAGACCTATCCTCCAGTACAGTATGTACTGTACCTTGCAAATTTTGTAATGGGTTACTAAATACTTCATTTGGGTGTCTTTTTGGGTTTAGTGTTTAGTTTCATGATCTCTTTTCTTGTTTCCTTGGATGGTCAGTATGGGGCTATGGGCTTCTGTTTGTGACGCTCATCTCTGGGTGTTCCCTGGCTGGGGTTTCGGTGTTGCCGCTGATGGCACATCAGTTTTACCAGCAACTGTTGACAGTTATGATTGGCCTGGCTATGGGGTCTCTGGCTGCTTCATCCCTCTTCCATCTCATTCCTCAGGTGGGTTATGTAATTCATAAATACCAGTATAAATGAGGTCCTGTTGTGCATTTTAACATGTTTTGACAGTAAACTAAAACTAGCTACCTTTACACAAGTTAAAAGGTTTATTTGAAAGACTTTAATCAGATGATCTGGTGTATATATATTACAGCTTTTAATTTTTTTAATAGTTTGATTTTTGTTTGTAGTATTTAATTTTTATTATTAGAAGTACAATGCCTACATTTTTAAGGAGGGGTTTGGGATATTGGCTGTTTGGAGTGACATCTAAACTGTTGTATCTGAGTGCCTCTGCAAAAACAATGATCGTGTGAATGATGGTGAAAATGTTAAATGATGGTGAAAGTATTTCTTTTTTGGGTCACACTGCCTATGGCAAACCCGACGTGTTTAA